TCATTATTAGACTGAGACAGCAATACATATATATTTCCTAATAATGTAATATTGTATATTAATGAGTAAAGTATACATGTGTACGTATATATAGAAACTTCATTAAAATATATATATATATATATATATATATATATATATATGTATATATCATATATAAATATATATATCATAATGTGATATTTTATATGTAATTGTAGTAGTAAGTATCATACTTACTTTATGCTTTTTAGCTGTGTCGAGAGGAGAGTAATCTCTCTATGTTCTGTTTCTAAATGCTACGCAAAGTAAATCCAAAGGGACAGGAATCAAAGATGAGGCAGCACAATTACTTTTCCTTTCTGCTGTATACTGCAACATAAAAAGATCTTCATATGAAATAAAAGGTAAGAAAAGAAATATACATATGTATCAGTGCTTCAAAGATAGACAGTGTTAAGTCATTTCTCTTTCAAACAAAACTTTCATATTTTATCAGATTGACAATTTCTAATAATAACGGTATGTACAGACATGCGTACATATACAATCATTATTAGACTGTCAATCTAATAACATGTAAAACTCTTGTTTTTGAGAAAGTAATATACTATATATATAACACTGTACTCTACTTCTGAGGCAGTAATATATAGGTATATATTTTTTAATAAAGTAATATTGTATATGTAATTTTATAAGTAATTATCATACTTACTTTACACTTTTTACCTCTATCGAGAGGAGAGTAATCTTTTTACTGTTTCTTTATTCTATGCAAAGAAAATCCAGACAGAAATAAAAGATGAGGCAACACAAAACTTTTAACGTTTTCTTTCTGCTTTACACTGCAACATAAAAGATTTTTATATGAGATAAAGAACAAGAAAAGAAATATACATATTTTTTATACGTTTTAAGGCATAACCTCGAATTGTGTGAAGTGTGTTAATAGATAATGTGTAAGAAATTGCAATAAAAATGTAGAATAGAAAATTAATCTAAAACTTTATTTCCTTCTGTAATAAGATATAATATAGATTAAAAAAAAAGAAAAATTACCTAAGTAATACGATTTTGTGGTGAAGACGCGTAGAGATCATAAGAAACCGGTATCGGCACTCACTACGCACTTGTACAAGTACAAGTTATGTATATGATTTAATATATGCTGTTATGTTAGCTTCTCCCGTACTGTTGCTACGGGTAACAACCGCGAGCGCGCGAAGCGCACCGGGCTGTCTTAAGAGCCGTCTACAATGGAGAGTTGTAGGCCGTAATAGTAAGAAATTGACCAATCGCAGACAAAGTACAGAAGAATAATCGATTGTGATTTGTCAATTTCTTACTGTTACGGTCTAAAACTCTCCATTGTAAACGACCCTTTAAGAGCCGTCTACAATGGAAAGTTGTAGGCCGTAATAGTAAAAAATTGACCAATCACAGACAAAGTACAGAAGAATAATCGATTGTGATTTGTCAGTTTCTTACTGTTACAGTCTAAAACTCTCCATTGTAGACGACCCTTTAGGCGTTGTCTACAATAAGAATTTAAGGCGTAAAACTTAAGCTTTAAGAAAGTACAAGGATCGTTTCCACTATCTACGATTAACTTACCGATCAATTGCAAGTCAATTGCAATTGGTCAATTTAGTCAATCGACCAATATGATTGACGATTCCAACGGAATAATTGACCGATTAAGTTAATCGGAGATGGTGAAAACGGATCTTACACCTTCTTAAAGCTTAAGTCTTAAGTCTTAAATTCTTATATCTTAAATTTGTAGACGACGCCTTAAGAGCCGTCTACAATGGAGAGTTGTAGGCCGTAATAGTAAGAAATTGACCAATCACAGACAAAGTACAGAAGAATAATCGATTGTGATTTGTCAATTTCTTACTGTTACGGCCTACAACTCTCCATTGTAGACGGTTCTTTACGCGCATGAGACGACTCGTTGCATGCTTATTCGCGGATCTTTGTTAATTAACATCTCAATAACTATTGCAAATCTAGCAAAATGATATAGGACTTTTCGACTCAGTTTTACTCCTTCTATCTGCCTACGAGAGATGTTAAAGTGATTGTCGGACACCCTGAATGTATGCAGGATGTTTGTCAACGAACGACTAAGCCGACGTGTATAGGTAGATCAAGTAAATCAGAGCAGAAAAGTTATTTACTAATTTACAAAATCCGTAACAGTGAGATATGAATTAATAAATTTGAGCCAATAAACGCGCGTGAGACAATGATCAAACTCTATAGGCGTGCACGATCATCAGCCAACGACATATATACCAAGCATTCTCTCCAAAATGTGAAGTCAGGATTGGCAATTTAAAATAGAAGAAGATAGATTATCTTACGTCTTTCTCTCTTAGGACGACTGTCAAAAGTCGCCATATTTCCCAGCAAGCAAGCTCACGTGATAATGACGTGATTATGAAGTGATTTTGATGACTACGACGTTAAGTAACACAAATGGTAAGTTATTTTGACGTCATTTACAATACCAAAAGTTGACGTCGCCGATATGACGTCATTTAGATGTCGCGTTGACGTCATATATTAACTTATATATATTGAATTTCAATATGACATTAATAAAACGATTAAATGAAGTTCTAACAACAACCTTGAGTTAAATTCAACCGTTAATTATAATAATATGTTTATTAATAACATTTGTTTTTTTAAATAATATTATATCTTTAAATATATTATTTATAGATAAGTATAGCCATTTATTTATGGATAAGTAGCCACGTACACTTTGGTAAACTGATTACTTTTTATATATTAAATTTATTAAAAATAACATATTACATATATAAATATATATTCAATGATAACTAAAGTTTATTGTAGTTAAATTTTATAATAAGAACAATTATTATTAAATATTTCTTATTATTAAATAATATAATAATAATCTAATAATTATTAAATAATATAAAATGTGTAGAATAGTTTGAGAATAAGTAAAGAAAAATAATTATAAACATGAAATCTTCGGTCATAAGAGCCAAAAATAATTACATTATAGTAAGGAACAAGTGGTCTAGCGGACTGAGTGCAGGGGCTGCGAATATGGAGGTCTCGAGTTCAAATCCCACCATCACCTTAGGATTTTTTCCAGGTCCGGTATCTTTCATCGAGTTAATCAGTTGATTGACAAACTGAATCAAATCTCCAAAAATTAATTCAAGTAAAATTTCAAATTAATTTTGTTTCTATAAAGCGTTTTTTTTATATATCACCGTAATATTACTGCGATGCATTTCGACGGTCATTTTATTACTGTAATGCAGTAATATTACGTACTATGTGGGAAGTTGATACTATTGTTCTTTAAATGTTGTATTTTATTTTCCTTTTAAATTTACAATAACGTCTTTACCATGTTATATTGATGAGACTTTTTTGATTATATTCACGTCTACTTGACGTAATATAATGACGTCAATAAGATGTGACATAATCACGTGATATGTATGTCAAAATCACGTCATTGTTATGTCATAATTGACGTTTTGCAGACCAAAAACTGACGTCATTGGGTGCGTTCAGACAACTCAACGGTTGAGAGATCATCACTTATGATAGGACTATTCTTCAAAATCTGCTGCGGTTCCAAAAGTATGATCCAATCAGAAGTGATTATCTCTCAACCGTTGTGCAACTGTTGAGTTGTCTGAACGCACCCATTATCACGTGACCTTGCTTGCTGAGTTGCACTACAATTGTCAAGTGCTGTACGTTACGTGTATTATATTACGCGTATGTAACCTGTTAAACACATTTTATATATTTATGTTATATTTTGTTTTTATATATTTTCCATTTTTTTGTAATACTTTTCTATATACATACTGTATATATGTCGGTGTCATACACGTAACCTAACATGCAGCACTTGATAATCATAGTACAAATATGGCGATGATAGCGACTGTCAAGAGTCTGTCAAATGCATATATATAATACTCCTATATTGCTAGTACGGTGCCGACCTGAAGCCCAAATGTTACGGTGCAGACAATATAGTAGCCTCTCTCTCCAGCTGCTTTGTGCGCATGCGGTGAACATTCAAGCACGCTTGCGCATTTCTCTTTCTCGCGTTTTTTCTCTCACTTTCCAATGCTTTGTCTCGCTCGCACTCGCTTAGTAGACGCACCTGCGCATAATGACGCTCGACTATCTATGCCCATATTTGGACTTCGTGCGTCTCTCTTTCTCGGGCCTCGTGCCTCTCATTGCGAAGATACGCGACTAGCAATATAGGAGTATTATATATATGGTCAAATGCTAGATTATGTGCAGTCAAATAAATGTTACCGTTTACATATCACTTAAATGATATATTCATTTCTTAACAGTATATCAAATACAGTTGGTATTGTATTTGTTCTTAAATATATTCTGCCACAACTTGTTCTAATATAACAATCTTTTGTAAAATGCTGGCTACATATAACCGACTTTTCAGTATATAAAAAATTCTTTATTTTCTTTTCTATTGCTGCAAGCCATTATTTTCTTCTTATTATATTTTTTGGTAATCTGAAAATATATAGTCTTGTAAACATATTATCAAAATTCCAAGAAACTTTGTATTTTTAAGCAATCATGTATACAAAAATAATTTTTTTTACGTACCTGTGAAATCTGATTCCATCCGACTTTTCTTTCAAATGTATACCACAAATGCAACAAAAAACCATGCTTGTTTTTCTTTTACTGTTCTTTTTCTAAAAAAAAGCAAAAATGATAGTAAGATCTGACAGATGCCGGAATTACTAAGTTGTGAAATAGTGTTTGTGATATAAGTATTATTATTATCATTTCGAGTTGCGAAACAATTGTTACTTTTATTGTAAGAATATATTTAGCTAACACAGTCTGTTTTTAAAAGATAAGTAGTTTTAAGCACGTATTGCTTGATCAGCAGAAGTGACAGATTTGTTTCCGCGTGCTGATCAAGCAGAGTTAAGTGGGTGGTGCAACATTGTTTTGCTGCGATACGAGGTCGTATACAGGCAAAGCGATGCTGCTTAGTGCCCCCAAAAAGAGGTATAAAAAGACGCTGCGAGATGGCAGCGTCAGAATTAGTCCATACATCGTCGTACCGAGAAGAAAAATTGTATTAAACTGAAATAAACTACGTGTTAATACTTAAACGAGAGGACTTTTCTCCCTGTACCTGCTGCTATTCCCGTTAAAAGAATCCGTTGTGACTAAGGGCACAACAGTAATAATAATATAAATTTAATCATCAATGCGATTTTTGTAAATATTCTTTCCCTGTATGTACCTGGTATATTTTTCCGGTTTCCTCTCTTTTCTTGAATGGTGACAGCACATTTTAAAGATTAGATAAATATGGCGGCTGTCAAGAATGAGAAAGACAGTAGACGTAAACAGCTATCTCATTCTATTTTAAACTGCCAATCTTGGCTTCACTCTTTGCTATAGGAAACATATAGGAATGCTCGGTCTAGATACATATGTCATCTTCAGCTGTAAAGAAAACTGGCTCCTCTTATGCAATGTCTTAGCAACAAGAGGCGGAGAAACAAACAAGCGCTGCAAGACTCAACTTCTTCCGATCGGGCGATGTTCGGCGGTACAGCTAGCAGCGGCGAGCGAGAAATAGAACTGATAACACAGCTACACAAAAAAAAATTTCTTTGGCCTGGGAATCAGACTATGTTTATTATATGTTTTTGGGGTCGCTGAATCCGAATCCGAGGTCCATTAAACTCCATCGGGTCGGGGTTCCGCCATAACCTCAAAAAACACCATAATCTGAGCTCGGAATCCATATAATCTTTTGATTCAAGCCATAAACACAAAAACCAATTAGATAAACCCCATAACTCCATCTTTTGGTAAACCTAAGTCTTCTATAAGATCATTCAACACCAATCTTGAGAATACTTTGATACAATAGTATCGCTATCTTTACTATCAGATTTATTTTCTTCAGCAGAAATCCATGTTTTTGTTCTAACAGAAGCACCATTCTATATATATGTTGTATATATCATCGTCTTGGCTAATCTACATTAGCCAAGTTGCCAAGTAACGCAGAACTGCGGTCGCTTGATGACGACAACTGCGGGTCCGCTTTCTCAACCTGACCAGCCGCCGATTTCGGGTTTCCGATACACGAAAGTTGGCTTATTC